TATATATTTATATTTTTATAACTAATAGGCTTGGAATTTTTTATGTGATTTTATTCTAGTTGTATAATGTTCTTAGATCGATTTTTTTTGATCCCGAATAGAGTAAAATTGAAATAATCATATAATGACATTTTGTATTAGATCTCTAATAATGATCTCTATACCTCTATTAATGAAACCTTAAATTTTCAGTCGAAAATCGCAAATCGTAGTTTATTAGTGATCCAAAATATTTACTGCTTAGAATATTTTATATCATTCATGTAGCTCTGTTTTGTCCAATATTCTTCTAGTTTAAAATTATTTTGCCTTTAATGAAGGCTTACTGTCTAGAATATTGCCGCATTCAAACTTTTGTCCTACAAACTTTGACTTCCATTTCGCTCATTTAGCAGATCAAATTTGTGTATCGCGCACAAGTTTAGGTAAAAAGTTCCTAGACCTTTGTCTGAATCAGTTAATCCATATATAAATATTTATGTATTTATTATTTTCTTCTTTAAATCGTAATTGTTTTTTGCACTTTCATGCAATTAGTGATATTGATGATTCATCACAATTGGCCATATATCAGGCAATGTCTGACCAGTGTCTGGGTCTTACTTGAAAGTTATTCCCTTGAATTATAAGGGCACGTTTGAGCATATTGAATGACAGACGAATCAGGTTTCTTCCCGTCGTTGTTTAGTTTGATATAAAAAAAAAATATATATATATATTTCTCATTGCTTTTTTCCTTTCATTTAGCAATATAATAAAAAAGTATATATGCGTTTTTTTCGGCTGTGAACTTCGATATTTTATATCAGATTTTGGATTTTTTTTTTTTTTTTTGGCTGCCTTGTTGTCTAGAGAATACCCAAATTCGCATACCTAAGAGGGTTCATATCTGTTTCCATTATTTTGTTCCTTGTGCCGACGAATCTTCGACTCCTTCCGTTGCGTTAGTGTTAATGTTGCTGTTGTTGTTGCTGTTGTTTGTTTGTCTGCCAGCGACATGTTTCACAATGGCATTGACTTGTCTGGCCGGAGTGCAATCAACTCTTGGCTCTCTGCTCTGCTCACTTTATCCTCAATTTCTTTGGCCAGAAAAGTTTCAAGCTTACCTTCCACACTATGTCTCTCTATCTCTCTCTTTCTCTTTGTCATTACCTTGCGAAATCTTTTTCCCTCTATGTACTTCTTCCACTCCACTTCTGCACTTCCTCCCCTTTCGCTGCTTCAACTTTGTCTACTGCCCTTCTCCCCTCTACCCTCTCTCTCTATATGTCTCACGCCTTCCCTGTCTATATACATACTTCTTTCTCCAACTCTTTCTTCTCACTTTCCCCTTCTTTCTGCTCATATATTTTCCTCTTGAGATATGAATTTAATCTTGTGTTCCTCGAGATATTCGTAAATTTAATTCAATTTTTCACTTAAATTTAATGCTTCAAAACCTTGAGTTGCTGCCTGTATTTTACATCACTGTGCAATATACATATATATGTTTATATAAGTATATACGTCATATTATACAGATAAGATTAGCTAACGGAAAGTGTCTCGTGTCTACGAATTTAGTGCCAAATAAGGCTAACACGATTTTCGTCATGTCGCCAAGCGGATTGAGCTGGCATTTTCCAGTCTGAATTCTTATATACTAGACGGACGTAATACACAGGCTAACAATAAATGAAAATCGGTACAACTATCTAAGAACTCTTTTAGATTTATATAATTATACTAAAAATATAATTAATTCAGCAATGTTTAACTAATAAACTATAGTCAGGTATTTAGATCTGGATTAAATGCAAATGCCTTAATAAATCATTTAAGGTCTAGTTTAGATGTGAACGCCTTTTAATAAAGTATTTATGATCTGGTTTGGATAAGCCCACACAAAGCAAAATGAAGTTAGTCAAGTATAGGTATAATTTATCATTTATCTATTTATCAGGCACAAATGTATACTATAAAATAACTTTTTCGCATTGATAGACTGTAAAATACCCTGTAAAATAGTTATGTTTGCATATATTATACAGACTTCTCAAACGAACTAGACTCATTATTTCAAATCAAAGTGTAGGGTGTTGAAAAATTAGCCATGAACTTGAGCTTTTCATAGTCCATGAAAAATAGTCTGTGGTGCACATATTATAAAATATAGTTATGTGAGGCCTTCACTTCCCTGATATATCAAGCAAATTAGCTGAGCGCATTGAAGCGTGGCATGGGGCTTTGTTGTATAGGGGAAAATTGCTGGAAAATTCATCCGCCCACTTGGACGACCGTGTGGGTAACAACAAAAATAAAAATAAAACACAATTACAATAAATTACAATTTACACTACAAATGGGCACATAGTACCTGCCCAGCCATAGTCCGACTGTCTGGAGCCTCATTTTACTGTCGTCATATTAGTTTAAACTGGTTTCAATTTGAACTGCAATTGTTTTGCGGCCTGACCTTGAGTGTGTTTGGTTGCTTTTTCTGTTATCGTGCGATAAATAATCAGATAATTCTTTATAATTTAACTGTCGTAAGTTGGTTTGTTATTTTTCTTAAATATCGTTGACCTTGGCTCGAAAGCTGTCGAGCGGTATTTGCATTCCGATTGAAATAAATTTAAAAAAAAAGTTGGAAAACATTTCTATACTTTTTTAATGACTTTGTTAATGGGAAAAACTTACATAATAAACAAATGTATTTTTAAAAATGTGTATTTATATTATGCTTCGCAAGTACGTAGAAATACATATGTTTCTTTATAATGAAAAAAAAAAAAGCAACGCAAACGGAATATGAAAAAAATTCCAAAAATAAATACATTTTAATAGGCCGGTCTCTCCTATACATAAGTTTTTCTCTCATAGTGCCAATTTGCTGTTGTGTAATTTACCTTTGCAGTCGCATTTTGAGTCTCACAGAGGATATAAATAATATAGGCGCGTCGCACCTAATATTTCGAAAGTAAATATGTTAAATATAACATAATTCACACATTATGATTTGTTGAAGTTCTATTTTCGATTTAATACATGCGTAAATTTTTATATAATCCTAATGACTATGAGTTATAAATAATTATGCTAAATACATAATTGTTATTAATTTTTATCGGGATTTCCTATTGCTTTCGTGTCAGATAACACGAGCTGTAGCCTGCAGTTTGATAATCTCTAAATTAATCGATATTTCGATTGGTCGCTCTTGGATTTGAAATTGAGGTGGGCCACACACGAAATTGGCTTGCTTTGTTTGTCTTTAACGCAATTGAAAACAATTTAAGGCGACAGCAATTCATACGTCTCGTTAAAAGGCTTAAAAATGCGCCAGAATAACCAAATATTGCTTCGAGACGGGAGCATTGTACGTACGTACGTATGCAAGTACATATGTAAATACATCCATGCACACACATATATATGCATATACATATATATACGTGTTTGTCCATATTCCATAGCGATGCGAGTGAACTAATGTGCGTCACAGCGAGAGGCGAGAGCCCAAACACACTCGCAGCTGAGAGAGAGAGAGCAAACAAAACAAATGAACCGCAAGTACTCGTATTCGTATTCGTGTCGCACTGTCGTTCGTTTTTCATACGATTTCTGCGTCAGGTTCGCTCTCTATATTTTGTTCGCTCAGGCTAAGTTCCTCGCCCTCTCCGCCTCTCTTTCTCTGTGTTTCTCTTTGCTGCGCTCACAGTAATTGTTGTTTGAATTTGTATTGGTTGWTGGCTGGCTGGCCTGCTCCGGCAATGAGTTGGCAACGTTCAGTCGATAGCAAAAGATGAAACAGTGCTCATCGCGCAGCATTTGGTGTCTGCTCAGTGTAATCGATCAGCGTCTTAGAATTGACACCTGTCGATATCTAATCGAGATATTATCGCGCCGCATTACTGGCGACTAAGATTAGAGTCGGTATTAATCACTTAACACCATATACTAATTATAACTAATAAACAAATAACACCAGTGTCATCATTTATCTATATATATTATAGATAGTTGTTTGTATATACCTGTCTCTCTGTGTGTGTGTGTATATATATATATATATATATCTGTGTTTGTCATTTGCAAAGACGCAAAACAAAATACATTGCATAAGTCTAGTAAAAACCAGAAAACGCCAAGTAAACAGCTGATATAGTATGTATGTTCGTACATACATGCATACGTATATATGAACAGATATTTCACTCCCATACGTACGTTCGTTTCGCGTGATTCTGAGCTCCCAATGCCCCAAAGGTACAAACAAGTGAAAGTTGTTCAAATATAAATCATGTGGCCCAAAATGACGAAACCATTCACGTCTAAATACATATATTTGTAGACAAATACCAGGCTATACGATTTCCAAGAGTTTGTTAATTAGTTCTACGTTTCCCACTCGAAAAGCCACAAGTTCTACGATTGCTCTATGTGTGTGTTTATACATTTGTTCCCATGCTCATTCCATTTTTATCAACAATATTATGCCAAATTTCAGCGGAATCGGATTGTTTGTATAGTTATATTTAAGACCTGCATAGACCGACCGACCGACCGACCCACACACCTTCAAACAAAACTAAATATTTGCTGAAGATATTTTCCATATACAACTAAACATATGCAAAATATTTATGTATATAACAAGACTGTGTGTGTGTGTGTGCACCAGTGTCTCTCTATATACATATATTATACAATAATATTCGGTTGTATCTAGTTTTGACGCGCTGTTATACACATATCCATCTATATATGTATGTGGCTGTGTTTCTTAAAAGAAAAACAATCGGGACAAAGCGAAGCATTGTGAAAATCTGTGTATATTTGGAATTTTGTCATATTTTAAATATTTTCTTGCTGTATCATTCACATACATATTTACAATCGCATATATATAATAATAATAATCTAACTTTRTACTAACTATTCCATTTTTCTCGCATTCCTCTTGCAGTTGGTTAGACCTGTTCCCACATCTATGGAGTTTCATCTAGACAGTGCAGAATACTGCCAGGCACAGCACAAATAAAAAGTAAGTCTAGGGCAGACATATATATACATATATGTATATATATGTCTGTATTCTGTCAAAGGTCAAGAATGTTGCTGAACTTTTAAATGCCGAAATGGTGAAATTCCCGAATTGCGTGTAATTTGCTCAATTGCTCCCCTCGAATTCTTCTCCCTTGTACTTGTCCACAGAAAATTTTGAACAATTAAAGCGAAATGAACGAAATTCAAGAGGGCCAACTATAAATTTGGCAATTAATCAAGCTAATTGAACAGTCAATTTAAAATTGACGCAACAATTGCTTTAAATTTGAGAATTTATCGAAACGACTGCTGAAAATTTAGCTAAAGAGACAAACTCTAGTTCTCTTCTTATGAAACAAATTGGTTCAAGTTTTAAATTGTATTCAATAGAATTTATAGAGTAGATTAACTTGATAACAGTTTATCCAGATTTCCAAATGCAGAACTAGGTTTCCAATAGATGAATTCTTGTGTTTGTTAGCTTAGCTTGTAATCCTGTACATATTATATTGTATATACTCTATATATACAATTCTAAGTGCAATTTTTAAGTAGGATTTTTCACAATTTACTCACAACTATGCAAAAGAACTTTACTGTCAATCAATCAAATTGGTTCAAATAAAGAATTTAAGTACTCAAGAAACAACAGCTGAATTGCTGAATAGAACTAGTGGTTCATGAACATTTCAAAAGCACCTAACTTTAATGTGGAAATTTAATGTAAATGCTAAACAGAAACAATCAAGACTCGCTGATACTTAAAAGTCTAAAGGGTATATTAAAGTCAAGCACCCTCTAATTTGCGATTACTATCGATTATTGACCAATGCTTTGTTTGAATTTCAGGTAATCAAGAAGCAAAGAAGGCCGCGATAGCCTGAGACAACGCGCTGTCATCCTCTGCCCGGAAGTCAACGGACGCCAAAACTGATTCGAAGCGTGGAGCGCGGCAGAGTTCAAGACAGAAAGACACTGTTCAACAGAGCGGGAGAGACAGACAGACAGAGAGAGAGAGAGAGATAGAGCAAGAGAAGGAGTTGAATTAGGAGCAGTCCCGAGCGAAAGTTTTTAACGTCTGGGTGAACTGAGTTCATATCACAAAGAAATCACATTTAACCGTAGGGTGCCACAACGAAAAGTGTTTGGAAACAAGAATTGTAAACATTGAAGAGGAGCAGCAACTGCGCCTGAAATAAATTTAATTCGATAGATTCGCCGATAGATTCGATATAGCGAAATTCACAGGGATTTTTACTAGACGGGGTTGAGGCACAGCAAAAAATACTTATATATTTTTTGTGATAAACGTTTTGAAGGTATCCAAAATTTGTACTTAATTATTCATTTATACTTAAACAATTATTTGGTTTGGTGTATAAATCTAAAGCCTGCTAAAGGAAAAATAAGAAAAAAAAAGAAATCTTATATTTATATATATTTTTACAAAACCAATTTCTAAAATTACGCTGAATTTTTTTCTATCTAAATAAAATCGCGTAACTTCCCAAAGTCAAATCAAACAAGGAAAAACAAAACACACAAACACACACACACATTTATATTTAGCCCAGACAATTTTGAAACAATTAACACAAATACACATAACACGTAATATTAACTTAGTTTGAAAAACAAGAATTAGGATCGATTAACATATTGTAATTCAACTGATTTGTAAAGTTATTATAAGTTAAGCAACAAAATGCGTCAAAAAGATCTGCGCCCAGCACCAGCTCTTATTGAGTATAAGGGCATGAAGTTCCTAATCACCGATCGACCATCAGACATAACAATTAATCACTATATAATGGTGAGTATCAAAGTCACAAATGTCCAACTTTCATTTCCATCATAATTCATTGTTATTCCTGGGCTTTGCAGGAGCTTAAAAAGAACCATGTTAACACTGTGGTGCGGGTGTGCGAGCCCAGCTACAATACGGACGAGCTGGAGGCCCAGGGTATTACTGTTAAGGATCTAGCCTTCGACGATGGCACATTTCCGCCCCAGCAAGTCGTCGACGAGTGGTTTGAGGTGTTGAAGGACAAGTAAGTCTGAGCTAAGTGCCTTACCCCCGATTTCTATATCATTTCTTCAACAAGCTGAAGTCATAGTATTTATAATTAATATTTTGTTTTCTCTAAATGACGACCAGAAATTTGAGCTATCAGAATTTAATTGAAATGAAATTGCTTATATGATATAGAAATTTGTAAAATAATATTTCAAAGTTCTATTAGAGAACTATGCACTTATAAGAGTCAAAAGATATAATTATATTAAATGTTTAGTACAAGTAACTTGACTATTTATCAAAGTTTTACAAAAGATTTTATTAGATTTGTTATATACAGTCCAGTCCCGATAATTCGAAACGGGAGGATCATTTTTTTTTTTTTTTTTCGATTAACCCAGAAATTTAAATTATCGAGAACGATTTTTTTTTCTATTTATGGTGATATATATGGAAAACTTGTCCAAAAATTCTTTGTAAAATTTATTACATTTTTATTTTTTATTAAAACTTAAAAAATCCGAATTTGAATTAAACTTGCTGAACAAGTTCACCTTTATGTCCTCCTAGTTCAGTGAGTTTTGCAGTTCATGAACATAGATAAAGTTCAGTTAATTATGATAAATTTGTATTTGTTAGTCTACCAAAAACAGACGCTGAATAGAGCTCAGTAGAACGTATGATTCATGAACAGGTGAACAAAGTTAAAAATAACGAAGTTATTAAGAACCGCTGGAAGAACAGATCTCTGAGGGTAGCTCATAGCCAATTGAACTTTATTGTTGATAGACTGAATTAGTTCAGCTAACAGTTTGCTGAACTAGTTCTTTGCTTCAGGGAATTTTACAACGATTTCTATATCAACTAAGCAATGACGTTTAATTATTCTTCAAATCCAGTTAAATATGATTTTATATAAATTCCGTAGCTTAGGCTCATTTGCAAAAACAAAAAACAAAAAAGCGATACCAAAGTTGATTTTTATCAATTTATTCAGTATTATTTGTTGCTTTATACACCGACAATGAGATGAACATTAAAACGAATTCCAAAAACAAATCATCGACTAACCTGCTGCTAACAACATTTCAAAGAGCTGCGCTTCAAATCTCCCATCAAGCAATATATTTAAAACATAAACATCGATTATATCTGTATCTATATATATATACCTGCATATATCTGCACCATATCCCGTAGCCCGCGCTTAGGCCTTGCTGTTATGTAGCTCTCTGTACCAGATCACACTTATTGAATATCATTTCTTTTTACCATAAATAAATATGATTTGCTTTATGTAATATATCCATATCCATATCACTTTTTCGTTAAGTTTTCCCTAGATGCCTTTGTAAATTTGATTTAACCTCACAGTAGATACCCATAAATACTTGAATATAAACTATTTAATTTCGGTTTCGAAAGTCTTACCTACTTCCTCCATGCATATATGTATATATCATATATATATATTGATTTGTAAATATATATATGTATATGTATATGTATATGTGTGTACTCCGTTTCGTTTCTTGGTTTTGTGTGCTATTATCCGCTGGCTAGTTTTAGAAAGTCCACAAGCGCCACACTATCCTACTACAGACATAAGCGTTTCTCGCTTAGACACATACCAAAAACAGCTCCAATGGCAGCTCGAGCCAGCCTCTCGGCAGCGGCGTCGGCGGCAACGGCAGCAGCAGCAGCAGCGACAGCATCAAATACTACAGCTTCTTCAGACACAGATACAGATACAATGCCCCTGACAGCAAATGAAACAGATACAAGATACAATAATACTGCATTCGTTGATAATGAGACTTGTCGGTAAGCGTTGCCTTGTAATACCAATTAAAGCGAGCCTTTAGAACCACACTGAATGAACAATGACAATTTCAACAGCTAAACCTCTCTTTACTGTGCGCTCAACAAAATATACTGATATATTCATGCATTTATCTTTTATCTCATCCACAGATATCAGCAGAACCCCGAGGCGTGCGTTGCCGTTCACTGCGTGGCTGGTTTGGGACGTGCCCCCGTTTTGGTTGCACTTGCACTCATCGAATTGGGCTTGAAATATGAAGCAGCTGTTGAAATGATTAGAGAGTGAGTCATAATCTTAAATCTATGGAATCGATTATTAATATTTGTTTCGTTCTCCTCATTTTTTTTCTTAGTAAGCGACGCGGCGCTATCAATGCCAAGCAGCTCTCATTTTTGGAGAAATACAAGCCGAAGGCGCGTCTAAAGCACAAAAATGGCCACAAAAATTCATGTTCTGTGCAATAGATTTCCAAAACCATATGTATATTCCCACCAGATAAAAAGTGTTCATTTTTTCAAAACAAAAAAAAGGAAAACAACAAAAACAAAACAAAACCAAAACAAACGCTAAAAATTCTAAAACTGTATAATTGCTAAAATCACAAAAACGAGAAAATGTATGATTGAAGAGACAGATTGAAAACAGCCCAATATTCTATAGACGAGTCGATCACAGCCCAGTTATATTTATATATTGAAATTCGCATGAATTGGCAACAACAATTGTATTTATTGTATGTATTAATTAATGTAATTTATTTAATTTTATATTTCGCCAAACAAACGCAATTCTAATTTTATTTCACGCCCCCCCCTCAAAGTGTCCATTAAATGGTTGTGTGGCCGGGCATCGTAGCAAAAAGATAAACATCTATAGCATCTGTAATAGTAGCGATTATGTACCTATCCACAAATCCAAATCCAGATCCGATTCCAAATCCAAATCCCAGTCCGAATTCAAATTAATGTCAAGGGTCAGGCGCCATAGGCAATAATATGACTAAATATATATTTTATTGCAATATAGCCAAAAACGAAAAAATACAAAAAAAAAAAAAAAAAAAAAAAAAAAAAAAAAAAAAAGAAATCAATAACGATAAAAATAAATGAATCACGTGTAGAAAGCTATACATATAAATACATATATAGATATATGGATATACACATATATATATATAGATGTATGGAGGAATGATATCTGCTTTAAACTGAACGCTGCATTTGATGTAAACGATCTGCAAATGATGTACTTAATCGCATGTTTAGTTTAGCCAGCGCTCAGACGCCGATTCATTTCATAGTGAGAAATATATTCTAAATAACAATACAAATAAAACGAAAGGAAAACGTAAATCTAAAGAAAATATAGACTAGTTACATAACTATTAAGTCGAACCCTGCTTGAACCGTAAACGAATTAACGTACTTTCGGGTTTTCCATGTAATTGCAAACAATTTTGATTTCGATGTGCTTAAAGGAATGGTATAATGGTCGGATCCTATGCGCTTTCCCTATTCTCTCTGTAACATACGAAACTCCGCTGGATAACAACTATTTATATACTACTAAATCGTACAGAAATAAACAATTAATTAACAAGTACATACAAATTTTACATTAATGACTACATACATTTAAACGCTATATGCAGCCGTTGCAATACACATAAATACAACAAATACACAGCAAAACAAAAATTATTTATAAATATATATATACATATATATAAATAAATCTATAAAATATGATGAAACAAAAACACAGACACTTAAAAAAAAAAAGAAAAAAAAATTGAGAAAATGAACATGAATGAAAATGATACAAACCTTACAACAAATTTAACAAAGTATAGTCAGGATAAAGCAGAAATTATAAAATTATATGCTTACAATTAATTTATCCAATATTGAATTGTAATTTTTTAAAATGTTAGTCATTACAATGAAATAAAAACGATATATGAAAATTAAACATTTTGTATCAAATGAATAATCTATTTTAAATTGTTCGATTTTGGGAACTTGCAGATGGCCCATTTTTACGTGAAATACCATCGTATATGATTCAATATGCTATTCGAGCTTTTACTATGATGATGAACTGACTATGCGATTCTTAAGAAGTTGCGTAGTAAATGTCTAAATAAAGTTTTGTTAAGGCTAACAGAAATTCTTCGAGTCTTTAACTTATTAAACCCTGAACCCATTGAAAATGGGAAATCAGGGTATAATGGTTTTGTGAAAAAGTATGTAACGGGCAGAAGGAGTCATCGCAGATCCCATAAAGTATATATATTCTTGATCAGGATGACGAGCTGAGTCGATATAGCTCTGTCCGCCTGTCCGTCCGTATGAGTGCGTCGATCTCAGAAGTTACAAGAGCTAGAGAGCTGAAATTTAGCATGCATACTCGTGTGTACCATACGCAGTACGGGTTTATCATATTTTTTTGATAACTCACTCGATAACTCTTTTATCGAAAGTTTCATTAAGATTGTATATCTACAAAAAAAATTATTTGACAAATAATTTCTTATAAATAATATTGCTCACACTACAGCGCAGCCCAAGCGCAGTCGCTGCTAGTTGCGCAGTCAGCAGAGTGCGTGTGGATGCGTGTGTATGCATGTGTGCATAAAAGAAGTGCAGAATGAGTAGAAGCTTAGTAGCTTAGAGGGTTCAGGGTATCTCCCAGTCGAGCAGTCTCGACTGGTGCCTTCTTACTTGTTTTCCATGACATTTTTTTAGAAAGACAGACTCTTTAAATCTTGTGCAGATTCGAGCGTAACCCATTTCTCTTCTAAATGAAATACATATGTTCAATAAAGCGCAGAAATTCGGCCCAAAATAATGCTAAAAGTCGATTATTATTTAACGTGTTCTCTTTATTTTTGCATACGTAAATAAATATATATTGATAATGGTTACAACTAATAAATTTTACATTTTCTTGTTGTTTTAGATTTTTAAACTTTATCGGGCACACATTCGTTTCGCTCTGATGCCGGTTTTTATTAATTTTTTATTTCTTTTTTTTTTTTTTTGTGTGTTTTGGTTTTTCTTATTACAAACTGTAAACCTAAATTTTCAAAGCATGAACAATTTCGTCAATATATGTATTTATGTTGCTCTTGATTTTAATACAATAATTTCATCAGTGATATACGTTTTGTTTTGCCCAAATCAAAGTATATGTAAATAATGCAAAATAATATATCAAATTTGTTTTTCTTGCTTTTTTTCTTTGTTGTTCTTTCCTCTTTTTTTTTTTTTTTGTTTGTCATTTTGTGATAGAATAAGGGCTCTTCCACACACAGCGAACGCTGTTGGCTAACAGTGATCTAGTAACATGTGTTGCAAACTATGCTATGCCAGCCAACAGCACTGCCGATTAACAGCCAAATGTTGTTGTTGTAGTTGCTTTACTTTGAGAATAAAAACTAAAATAGTATGCATAAGAGTAAATATTTATTGGGTTTCGTTCAGTGCACTCCGTTTAGAAGCTATGCATTGATAAAGCTAAGCGCATAGCCAAAGGAGTGCCGCGTTTTTTCTTTGTGTGTGTGTGTGTGTGTAGTATGTAAAGACTAGAAACAAATTGATTTTGGGATATTCTTCTTTTTTCTTTGTATGGCTGCGCACAAAGCACCAGAAACAGAAGCGTTTTAGAATAATGCAGGCAGTTAAAAAGATATATAGTGTTCAATTTCTTGTTTGTGATATACGTAAGTCGGCTAGAGTGGAAAGCAAAAACGTAAACTATATATATACATGTGTAAAAAAATATATATACCTTTTTGCAAGTCCACCTTCAGTTAATTATATCTTATATACATACATAATTCTTTTCACACACTCTTCGGTTTATACAGCGAATTATTATCGAGCGAGAAAACCAAATAAAAGTAAAATTAAAAATTATATAGTATATACGTAAACTACGTTTCGTACCCTTTAAGTAAGCACATAGATGAAAATAAATACAAAATTGGCAAAAATCATATATAAGTTTATATCGTTAAGTGTGTTGAGTAAATAAAAAGCTGCTTTGGAACTGTATTCTTGTTTTTCTAGCACTATCCTGCTGGGTTGTTGTTGCTGCTGCTGTTAATAATCGCTTTTAGTTGGCCGCCGTTGCACAAGCAAAACAAGTGATTCTTTAATTAATAATAACTACTAAATTTAAACATTTTACTACAAGTATTTACAAATCACAGCTACAAACACTAAGACAGCAGGCGTGTGTTGCCAGTGTTGCATAACATCGACATCGACATCCACTTCAACATCCACATCGACAGTCGTTAACAAAATGGCGGCTGCAACGGCGACAACTAACGGTACACCCTCATTTGCTTGGCTCTACTGATCTCATTCGAATCTTCACATGGAACAAAGTCTAATTAAATCATAGTCCGGCGCGCTTAGCTCCCTTAACGAGTCTCTCCCTAGCAGACGCATCTGTATTTCTATGTTTGTGTTTGTATATGTGTGTGTGTGTGTGTTTCTCCTCTCTCCCCTCTTCGTCTTCTTACAGCCAGCCTCCTTTGCGGCCAAACAACAAGGAACTAACCGATCCCACAAAGGCCTGCGTAATGCTCTGTGGCGCCGCCCTCGCCTCACTGTCGCTGCCCTTGGCATCCCCAGCAGCTGAGGCACTGCTGTCCGCCACCTTGCCGAGATCGGGCCGCACTCGCCGGCCGCTGCCTGCGCCTGCTATGGTGCCCAGATCGGGTCGCTGGGCAGCCATGCCGTTCTTCAGGTTCCGTCGCGACTTCTGTCGCTGCATTTGCTTGAGTCGCGTTTCACTGGCTGTGGCGGAAACATCAACGGACGCAACAGCTGCTGCTGGTGCTACTCCTGCTTTTGCAGCTCCTGCTCCGGCTGATCCTGCTCCTGTTCCTGTTGCCGGCTGTGGCCTAGCCTTCAGCTGCAACACTATGCCCTGGTCATCGCTGTCCTCGCTGCTGTAGGCGCTCGTCGTGGCGCTGCCGCCGCTGGCCACGCCCGTCGACGTTGCGGGCTGCTGCGGCGTTGGTGATTTGAGGCCGCGATGTAGCACACCCTTGATTTGTGCGCGATCAAAGTGGATGTCATCCACGATCTGGTTGCTGTTCGTGTGCAAGCTCTGAAGACTCTCGCCGCTGATACTGCCACAGCTGCTCAGCTGGGAGAGCGGCGAGCTGCTGCGATTGGCGATGCCGGCGCTGCGACCGCGCTGTGCGCTGATTATGTTCTCCAGCCCGATGCTCTCCACCTTCTCGATCAGATTGAGCGAGCGCAGCGCCCGACGCTCCAGATGCGACAGCATCACCTTCTGCTGGTGCTGCTGCTTGCTCAGGCTGCGCTGCAGCTGGCTCTCGCTGGGGCCCACCAGCTTGCGCCTGATCAGATCAGCGCCCGAGGAGAGCAGCCCGAAGAGCGGCTCCGGCGACTGGCCACGCGGCGGCGAACCCTCCGGACTGTTGCAGGGCGTCACTGTGGGCGAGAAATTGGGGCCGGCGGGCGTATTCAAAGCGCTGGGCGTGACCGCCTTGATGCCGCGCTCAT